AGTTTTTCAGTCTAATCCTCATTAGCATGAGTGGGGCATGAGTGTGTGTATGTGTTCAGTTGCTCAGTCATGTCTGACTTTTTCCAATCCCATGAACTACAGCCCACCAGGCTCCTCTGTCCATGGAATTCTCCAGGCAAGAATACTGGAGTGGGCTGCCATTTCCTATTCCAGGGGATCTTCCCGACCCAGGGATCAAACCCACGTCTCTTGTGTCTCCTCTACTGACAGGCGGATTCTTTACCACTGCTTCAGCTGGGAAGGCTGAGTGGGGATACACAGGTTTTAAAAAGAGGAAAAGAGACATACAGGGGTGAATAGTATTCTAGATTTATATTCAGCTGGAATCTATGAATGTGACCTTTTTTGGAAATGGGATCTTTTTAGATGTAATCAAATTAAGATGATGTCAAACTGGATTAGGGTGGGCCCTAATCCAGTGACTGGTTTTTTTTTAAGAGGAGGAAATTATTCCTTTATTTATATTTTTTAAACTTTTTAAATTTTGTATGGAGGTATAACTGATTAGCAAACAGCGCTGTGACAGTTTCAGGTAAATAGCTATGGGATTCACCCTATCTGTACATGTATCCATTTTCCCCCAGATTCCCCTCCCCTTCAGACTGCCACACACCTCAAACTCTGTGATTACCCTTTCCTCCTGTCCTTTACCCCAGCAATCAGAAAAAGAGAGAAGTTTAGATACAAAGATACGAAGGGAGAATGTCACATGACAACAGAAACTGAGATTGGAGGCATGCAGCTGCAAACCAAGGAACACCAAGGATTGCCTCCAACCACACGAAGCTACAAGAGAGGCACAGAACAGATGCTCCCTCAGAATCTCCACATGAAACCAATCTTGCTTACACCTTGAATTCCAACTTCCAGCTTCCAGAAATGGAAGAGACAGATTTCTGTTGTTTGAAGCCACTCAGTTTGTGGTCATTTGTTGTGGAAAACCTAGGAAACTAATACAAGAAGGTATGAAAGTTAGGGGATTGCTTTTAAGGCAGCTTTCATAAAACAGAAGAGCCTGACTGAGGACATAGGATAGATTAAGACCAAGTTTCTTCACTTCACAGTTTTGCCTTAGGATATGCCCAATTGAATTCAAGAGTCAAATAGTAATAGCATTATGGGTACTGATGCATGTAATTTCCCCAAGCATCAAATTTATTAGTAGTAATTAAAAAGTGAAACCTGTTTTTAAAATGTGATAAACAATGTTGAAACTAATTTTGGCCTCCCTACCCACTAATTTTGAAGTCAACTCATTCATAACCACTTATGTTTCCATTGTGAAAAAAAAATTCTCAAGTTGGTGAAGGGGCACCTTTCAACGATCTTTATAGTAGCCGTCTCCAAAAGATTAGAGACTCAGGAAATTAGGTATCAAAATTTAATTAACTTTCCAAGTTACAAAAAGAGAAAAGAAAAAAATAAAATCCATATTCCTCTAGAGAGAAAACCTTCTGAAATTCATTTCAGTCTGCTGCATGGATTTTAGACACAAATTAGGGGATAATTTTAACAGACAAAAAGTATATAGCATTTTGACACTAAAGATGTAGAAACAAAAGACAACAAGTGAACAAATTAACATTTTAGATGAACCAAGAGAATGGATTTGTTTTTAAGAGAATTTAAATTATGTATCCATGATGTTTATATTGTTGATTCAATTTAAAATATCAATTAAAAAAAATAAATAAAAAAAAATAAATAAAATATCAATTAATCTAACTTGTAATAATGATGAAAACCTGTGATTCTCAAACCTGATCCCTTTCAGACTCTCATGAACAACCTAACAAGATACAGATCCCTATGTCTCACTGCCCAATTTTGATTTGGTAAGCCTGAACTGAGGCCTAGGAAATCTATTTTGCTTTTTTCAAATTCTCCAGGTTATCCTGATGGACAACCAGATTTGAGAACAACTAACAGGGAAAAATGCACTCACAGAAAGAAGCTTTGATCTCCCAAAGCCTGGAGAATTAGAGATGGGGTCAATCCTGGGTCAAATACCGAAAGTAAAATATTAGAATGGAAGTAATATAATACTTAGGGTCAAGAAACAGAGGCGGGGTCCAAAAGGGGAACCAGGGTACAGGGTGGAAGCAAGCTTCATGAAACAGGAAGAGAGGTCAGAATGCCAGTGAGAAATCACAATCAGAACACAAGGGAGGATGTAAGGCAGAAGGCAGGAAGCTCTGGGATTCAGCATTTGAGGCTCAGTCTGGCTCAGGACTCAGAGAAGGCTTTTCCTGCACCAGATTCCTGTTTGCACAGCTATGCTTTTAAGTAAATTCCTCTGTTAAGAGTATCAGCTCATTCAGGGTTTAACCAGTTTTTTATTTTTTGAGTATCTAACAGTTTGCATTAGTGTCCAGCATAAGGTGATCGTATGTCATTTTAATGCCTGTGTGTGCATGTATAGGTTTGCATGTATATTTTTTTTGTAGAACGCTTCAAACATTGAACTGTTGTTTAATATGTAATATTTTTTCCATGTTATTAAATTTTTAATGAAAATCCTCTAAAAATGAATTTTCAACTTCAGGTAAATTGAAAGGACAGTTGTTAATTCTTGGGTAACAGTAAGACATTTATTTCTTTATAATTTTTTTTTCATTCATAAAAAGGACAAAGCACAGTCCTATGCTACTCCATTGAAAAAAATGATAAAAAATAACTAAAAAAATCAATTCAATATTTATCAGTATCAAATAAAACTACTACCACCTTTCCTTGAAATACAAAGAAACAACAGATGTATCTATCGCTATATAAAGTTTAATCAAGAATCTTGTGTCTTAAAGCAGATGATGCATTATTTAGTTTGACAACAGTTTAAACCTGATGGTCCCAGTCAAATTTGTACACTTGTATGAGGAAATGAAAGCTTGAGTTATCAGTGTATGAGAGATTTTAATCTATTTTATCTCTGTCACAAATTTAAAATTAAACATACAACCTTCAAAGTCTGTTTTCTTCTTATCTGTCAGAACCATTTCATGCAAAATCTAACCAGTTTTGCTCTTTATTACCATACATAAGAAAATAAAAGGCAAGCATGCATTTGGCAAAATATTTAGTTGTTGATTATATAAAAATGCCCAACATGGGTCACATTGCAAAAGGAAAACCCCAAAGTGTAACAATGAAAACACAAACATTTGTACAGAAGGCTCACAGAGTATTTGTTTCCCGAAAGTATGAAGAGATTTTGTTTCTTTTTCAAATAATTAAATATTTTATGAAATCTGGCAATGATCTCAGACCGTTGACATACTTCTACTGGGGAATCATCCCTTTCACTTGTTTTTAAAAAGTTTCATTTTATAACAAAGAGTTAAATGTAAACTAATGAAATATTTATTGGTATTTTCATAATGAAAGCTCTAAACATTTACACATAGATATATAGTACAAAAATTATACAAATTAAAGAAAAGGGGGTAAAATAGTAATAGATCTATTTTGCTTCCTGTAGATATTTTTATGAACCTATAAGGTATCCTTTCTAAAAAGATAAACTCTATCTCTAATTAGCTAGCAAGGTTGTGCTAATAAAATAGGATTATACCTCTTGAAGCATCAGACATTGCACTATTTCATTAGCCAGCTAATCCTTTATTACTCGACTTCTTTCATATCCACACTCAAACACATGTCCCTGCACACCATGGAGAATGAAGAAATGTGCATCTTCCTTTTCAGGACTTATAAAAACCTAAAATACCAACACTTGGGAGATACCACTGCACAGACAAGCTATTTGTCTCCTCCCAGCCTTCTAGTTTCGGATACTCTTCAAAGTACCATTAACAAACCTTGATTTGGTATTTTTAGCCAGTTTTCGGTATTGCATTGAAGCAGGAAATGAGTTTAAAACTAAATTTAAAAAAATAATAGGGAATACTGTAGTTTTTCCAAGCTACAGGTGATTTCTTGATCCCACACCTTTAATAAAGGTTTTACTTATAATGGAGCACAAAAGCAAAGACACTAGAATATTAGATATTTCTGATATTCACTTAACTGACATTTATTCCTAGCTATGTAAAGCCTGTCACATCTCAATTAAAAAAATGGGAGCTCTCTACTTTTTAAAATTGATCATTTCACATATGAATAAATACAGCAACATGATGATACTCTATCACAAGAGCTGTGATTTTTGAGGTTTGAAATTGATAAGAAAAGCATAAAAGAACATCAGAACATCAGAGTAGAATACAAAAGTAAAAAAAAAAGAACTTCATACAGTATGTTAATTTTACTATTAAAAAACTAACTTAAAAGAATTACTGATTCTGAAAACCAAATATTTAGAAAATTACTTGCTTCCAAAATAGGAATACTGATCATAAGTTCTAGAATTTGGTTTTCAATATTCAAAATCTTCCAACTTATTCAATAAAATGATTTGGCATTGGAAATTATGTCTAATTCTTCAGTTCTATTTTTTTTTCCTAAGAAAACTCAAAATGTCAAGAATGATAGGGGCCATTCAAAAATATGCAGGACCCAAAACAGAGAGGATAGTACAAGAGACTATAGTACTCTTACATTTACCACATACAATCAACACTTCAACCTCTATTATATTTCACAACTTGTTATTAAATTTAAAGCACCTGTGTATGGTGATTTTACTTTCAGTCTACAGCCTATAGTATTGAATTGAACACTGTAACTTGTCCCATTGGATTAAATCATGCAACTGTCACAGAATCAGTTTAAGTGGTTTATAAGGCATATTGGAACGAGTTAAAAATCATTTATATTCATTTAAAAGTTTATTCTTTTGGATGAAGGGGTTCCTGAATGCCTCAGTCATAACATATGTTGTAAATCAGTTGGATAGTTTGTTAAACTATGATTTATTTGGCTTAGGATGGAGCCGCAGGGATTGGAAGGAACTGCAGTCATCACAGGAATGAAGGGTGTTCTCTGAGCTGGGCTGGGAAGAGCAGGTTGTCACATCACATTCAGAATTCCAAGTAGACAAGGATGCCAAGGGCAGGTAGCAGGAAGCCGAGAAGACATGGTGATAGGATGGATGCACCTATAATGCAAATCAAACACAAGCTTATTATTTCATTGATAACAGTCACTATTGCTCATTTCCCCTGCTTTGGGGAAGACCATTTTATGTAACCCTGAGAAACAAGTGTTTCCTTTGAAAAAAATACCAGCTTCTCTTAGGCTTAAGTGACAGTAAAAATAAAAATGGTTGATCAAGGATTTTGTGTGTGAAAGTGTATGGACTATTTATACCATGAGTTCATATAAATCATTTAAGATAATACAATCGCAAATGTTTCTATTTTTCCTATGATCCAGCAGTCCCAAACCTCTACTAGAAGGCACTAGGTCAAGAAACATATGTAAATAAGTGAAAAATCATAAGTAATCTGTGACACAATAAGATGAAGAGATGCAGCAAAAAATGCTAATAATGTTAAACCTGGGGCAATGACATTGAGGAGGAGAAGGGGACAATAGAGGATGAAATGGTTGGATGACATCACCGACTCGATGGACATGAGTTTGAGCAAGCTCTGGGAGTTGGTAATGGACAGGGAAGCCTGGCGTGCTGCAGTCCATGATGTCACAAAGAGTCAGACATGCTAAGCGACTGAACTGACTTACATCATATGTATACTGGAAGATAATGCATGATTTCAAATCCCATATATCAATAGTTTTAAAACATTTAGGGACTTATATACAATGTTTAAGAAATTTATTTTTGATAATAATACTCAAATTTATATCTAAAGAACAATTGCCCTGAAATATTAATGCTGTGATTTAAGAATAAAAATGATGTGATAGTCTATATACTTAAAATATATCTTGAGTGCCATCTAGAAGGGCTCTTCCTGTGCTAAGGAAATTTATGGGTCTAAGTCCAGCAACATGAGAATTCTTGAGAAAGGGTTGAAAAGTGGGAACAAAAAAGTATACTCTTCCGTTCAACTCTCCACAATTATTAAGTACTTTTTTCAGTGAACACATTGCTGGGAAGAGTGACAGGCTAAAAATACAGTCAACAGATTGCAAGTATAATAGATTTGTGTCTATTTGTGTAAATATAATAGATTTTTGGAAGTTCTCTAAATTTGAAACTTTAAGTCATTGCTCTCAACTATATCAACAGCTGTCTAAATATCCCTTTCTTTGGAATATTCTCCTTACATGTAGAAAGACTCAAGATTGAAGAGAAGAGTCTTCTCTTCAACTTGATCATTGAAAGCACAGTCATACTCCTCGTAAGGTGGACAATGATTGTGTCTATCTACATCCCGCTACTGCCCTGTTAGCAGCGTCTGGTGCTGCATGGAAAATGTAGGAGAGAAAACATTATGAGACACATATAAAGGACTTCTTAGAAGTGAGCAGGGCAGTGAGGGTAAAAGTGAGGGCAGAACAGTAAGCACAATATAAACGGCCCTCAGGTAGCTGCCTCATGATGGAGATGCTGCATAAGAGCACCACCTGTACCTATGATGACACCAATAATAACTATGATAGCTGCTATTCACTGCTCTATAATTACAAGACAGACATCACACTGGCCCTTTATGTGTATTGTGATATTTATACAATAGCCTAAGATGGTAGAACTTACTATCCTGACTATAGATTCGTTGTTGCTGTTGTTCAGTCAATCACATCTGACTTTGTGACCCCATGGACTGCAGCATGCCAGGCTTTCCTATCCTTCACTATCTCCCCAAGTTTGCTCAGACTCATGTCCATTGAATTGGTGATGCCATCCAATCATCTCATCATCTGTCACCTCCTTCTCCTCCTGTCCTCCATCTTTCAGGGTCTTTTCCAATGAGTTGGCTGTTTGCATTAGGTGGCAAGTTCTGGAGCTTCAGCTTCAGCATCAGTCCTTCCAATGAATATTCAGGGTTGATTTCCTTTAGAATTGACTGGTTTGATCTCCTTGAAGTCCAAGGGACTCTCAAGAGTCTTCTCCAGCACAATATGAAAGCATCCATTCTTCAGAGCTCAGCCTTTTTTGTGGTCCAACTCTCATATCCATACATGACTACTAGAAAAACCATAGCTTTGACTATATAGACCTTTGTCGGCAAAGTGACATCTCTGCTTTTTAAAATGCTGTCTAAGTTTGAGATAGCTTTTCTTCCAAGGAGCAAGTGTCTCTTACTTTCCTGCCTGCACTTTATAGATTATGTAACTCAGATTCAGATAAAATTACTGTTTAAGACCAGTAACCAGTAGAAAGCAGAGCCAGGATTAGATCTCAGACCAGCCTGGCTCCAAAGTCCATGCTCTTTCTACCTTGCTGCCACTTTCGGCAGATCACTCTGGAAAGGAACCAGGTCTAGAAAAGCACTAGAATGCTACATCCTGCACTTCAAGTGTCAAGGCAAGGGCACGGAAGGAAAATAAATGACACAGGGGAAAGCAGAGCACCTAAGCTGTTTCCAAGGGTATTTGTTCTTGCAGTTCTCATTCTCTTTTCTACACAGATATTTTAAAACTATGCCTCAGCACACATATTATTTTATTCAATAAGATGACCAATAATAAGCCTCAATCACACAGAGAAACATTAGTTTTCAATGTTTGACCTAATTTAAATGATCTTTCCTAAAGACATTTGTCTGAGAAAGACAGCAGGGTCTCTGAAATGCTCTGTCCCATGACCACAAATTACATTAGTGATGGGTACACGTTCGTGTATTTGCCCAAATATGTGGGCTGTCTCAGTACAAACTGTGGCGACAGAAAGAAGGTTAGTCAATTGTGAATGCCATTTTGAAGTTTTGGTGTTAGTATGAAAACCAAATATAATTTCATAACTTGTGGCTACAGCATCAGGATATTTGATTTATTTAAAATAAACTCTTCAAGTTTATGTGTGTCATATTTAATTTCTCTAATGGCTCAAGCCTATGTAATTGTGGTCTTCACATTCAATTCTCTTCCACATTCCAAACACAAACTAGAGACCTCACTGAATTGCTATTTAAAATCATTTTAAATGTGGGATCCCTATATTCTTGAAGGGTTTTAAACGTATATTCTTTTTTTGCCTAACAAAATGTATATAATATTGCTATCAAGAATAATTTCAGTACTTACATGATTTGTTGTTAACATGTATTTTGCTTCAATGCAAGGAGACCTGGATTCGATCCCTAGGTTGGGATGACCGCCTGGAGAAGGGAAAGGCTACCCACTCCAGTATTCTGGCCTGGAGAATTCCATGGACTGGATAGTCCATGGGGTTGCAAAGAGCTGGACATGACTAAGTGACTTTCACTTTCACTGACTATCAAACATGAACAAATCATCAATCTGGTTAATTACTTTTGCCTATAAGAACTCATGTAAAGCCTATTTAGAATACTATGCCATTGGGTTTCTGGATTTTTTTACCTTAAACTGCTTAGTTACACATTGAAAAGAGGACGTTAAGTAAGAAACAAGCAGTACTTAACAATCTTTTTAGGTTTTATGATAAGTAGATGGTCACTCTAGGCTTCCTTGGTGGCTCAGTGGTAAAGAATCCACTTGCCAATGCAGGAGATGGGTGTTTGATTAGTGGGTGGGGAATATCCCCTGGAGAAGAAAATGGCAACCCACTCCAGCATTCTTTCCTGGGAAATCCCATGGACAGAGGAGCCTGGTGGGTTATAGTCCATGGGGTTGCAAAAGAGTCAGACATGACTGAGCCACTTAGCACTGAGCATGGGCACAAGACAGTCACTCTAGTCAGCTTTTAATACAAATGTCTTTTCTGATGCTTAGGTTTAGACACGCTCCAACCCAAATTGCTAATGTTTGCTATAATTTTCTCCTTGGGGTGTCATGCTTTATGTTCACAATTTTTAACATCTCTAAGATTGTGAACAACTTCAGGACAGGGAATATATCCAAATTATATTTTCAGCTGTGTTGTCTAATACCAAGCCTAATGTATAGTAATTGAACTATAAAGTTATGATATAAATAATTCTTACAGTTAAAAGCCCTGAATCCTTTTTGATGTGGAGTACAAGCTCAGAAAGATAGTAAAGGGGTAGGACATGGGGGTTTAAGGAAGAAGACAAAGACAACCACTGTGACCTGCATCTCTTATCAGAGAAACGATATTAAAAATCTGCAACATCAGAAAGGCCATACTTTACTGCTCAGCCCTAAGGGTTCTCCAACTTGTCCTGGTAGGATGTTACTTTGGATTCCTTCAAAGTCTTATCCTTGGCCTTGGGCTGGGGGAAGAAAGTGTTTTGATAAGATGATTTATCCCCATCTTCATATATATTAGGTGTGTTAGGTATATATCAGTGTGTGTTTGTGTTGAATTCAATAAAACTCCCTCTGGGATAGCAGCAAGTTTGGAGAATATAAAAGTCTGTCTGGGATTGACAGTAAAAATCAGTTCAGAAGGCAAAAAAACAAAGTGACCTGCCTTTATTCAGGTTAGTAGTATGAGAGACAAAGATAATGGCAACTGTGAAACATTTCTAAGATCATGCAGCAACTAGAAAATGCGAGAACGACCCCATCATTGAGTAGTGAGTGTTGACTTACCAATAATATTCCATACCTTCTTTACTCTTCCTATCTTTTACTAGGAACATGCAGCTGGTAAATTACTCTCCCCTCATGATGGGTCCCTGGCATGCGAAGTCACTTTAGTCGTGTCCAGCTCTTTGTGACCCCATGGACTGTAGCCCACTAGGGTCCTCTATCCATGAGATTTTCCAGGCAAGAACACTGGAGTAGGTTGCCATTTCCTTTTCCAGGGGATCTTCCCAACCCAGACATTTAACCCATGTCTCCTGCATCCCCTGCATTGGCAGGTGGGTTCTTTACCACTAGCACCACCTGGGAAGCCCCATGATGGGTCCCAACCCTAGTTAATTTCTGATACTCCTGGCCTTATCTCAGAAACAGCAAATGCTCAGAACTGACTGCTTCTTCCCTTAGACCCTCCTCTGGATTCTTCAGCAAGAACTCAAATCTTACATAAGATGTTTCTCCTTCCTACTTGAGTGGTGCTCCATGACTGTGTTGAGG